GAGCAGCCCCCGGGGGGGGGGGGGGGGTGGGGGGTTGTGCCGTAGGGTTGGCTTGGTTGGATTCGTGCCGGCAAGGTGTTGGGACGGGACGGGGACGCACAGCCGAGAAGGGACGCGAAGGGTCTTTTCGGTCAACTCGGAAGCTGATACCGTAGGTGACATAAGATATCACACCCCCTGGACCGAGTTTCAAAGCTCGATTTCTCAACAGCACAAGGAGTGGCGGCGACGAAAAAGGCGGCGTTGAAGCCGTCTTTGTCGAGAGTTTTCCGAAAACGTGTCGTTGATCCATCCATCATGTTCATCATGGAGTAGTCGAGGTTTGAAAAAAATAGGTCCAGGGTGTGTGGAATCTTTCATCAACTACGGTAGGCTAGTGCTCCGCGGGAACGGGCGGGGGGAGTGAGTCTCAACAACGTCTCAACCGATGCACGGCGACCTAGGCAAAGGGCGCGGGGAACTCAATAGCTTACTGGAGGCACGGAGCAGGGGGGGGGAGTCTCAAACCGATGCATCCCAACCCATGTAAACCGCGCGGGGAATGAATGGTTTTACCGGTGTCCGCAGAGGGTGAGGACATTCACACACGTGGCTTCTCTCGGTGGGGGGGGGGGGTGTACTCATAGTCGTGCATGCCGTAGTCGTTAGACCATTGACCTCGCATCCCTACAAAGCCGGGACGGAGCACGCCGGGTTCTCACCGGACCAGGCTCTCACACCACCAAGCGCGAAGCGCCGTGAGGTATTCGGCGAGTCGCATGAAGGGTGAGCTGCATCCTGCTAAGGGTGTTCGGCCATCTTGTGCTTACTTCCTTGCGTACGGATGACAGCTGCGTATGACTTAGTTTATTTTCTGGTGCTTTCACTTCCAGAGGCAGTTGGAAGAACTGTGTAACTGCCTCGAGGATGCATGACCATTTTAACACAACGTGGTGCGATCATCCCCCGTTGCGCGGAGTGAGCGTTCTCCACCCCGCACAACATGATTTACTCGACCACCATTATGGTTACCGCCAAAAAAAAAAAACAGAGGTAAAAAAAAAAAAACGGTAACCTGGTTGCCGTGTTCACGAAGTGAATTGGCTTGTTTTACAACGTCGTTGCCAAGCGACGAAAACCCAACCCCGATGGCAAACACCGAGGGGGCGGGGGGGGGAGGACGTGGGGGATTTCATGCCCCTTACCAAACACTATCGACACACATACAGACAAGAATGTCCACCGCCAGCGCACGTCTGGGAAAAAGCGGTCCGGTCCGGTCCGACCGAGTGCTGTGCTGCGTGTGCGTACCACAAGCACCACGAGCAAGGACACCCGTACACACGATCTCAAAACCAAAACAGCAAAACAAACCAACAACAGCAGCAGTCGTCACAAAAACGACCGACACTCTCACCCATGCAACACGTATTACAATACTTCCAAGTACAAGATTAAACCATTGTACACATGAACGAAACAACGACACGAACCAAGGCCGACTACACTGAGACCGCCCCCCCCCCCCCCATTTTACCTCTCTAGGGCCACCAGCTCCCGCTCCCGCCCCCGGGCGGGGCGCGGCAGCCCCAGCCTCTCCGCCGCCGCCGCCTTTCAGCGCGTGGGAAGGGAGCAAAAGGGCGAAAAACGCCTGGTCCCCTTGGGCCAACATCGGGATCACCGTCCTCCCCTCCGCCAGGGGGAGCGGCTGCCCGTTGTCGGTCCAACGCCCCCCGTTGGGCATTCGCCCGCCGCCGCCACCCGCCGCGAAAACGCCCCCGGGTGGCGGGGGGGGCACCACGGTCGCCCCGCCCTGCATCAGGCGGCGGGTGGCGGAGCCGGCGGCATCGGCGGGGACCACCAGGTTGAGACCCTGCAACGCGGCGGGGGGGGATGCCGAGATCATAAGGGGTGGGGGGCGTACTCTTATATTTCGCAAGCCTTAGCGGTTAGACTATTGACCACGCGTCCTCGAGAGCTCGAGAGGAAGGAGCATTGTTCCCACAGGGGGGGGGGGGGGGGAAAAATAAAGAAATCCTGGGGGAGGGGGGGGGGGGGGGGGGGGGCTGGGTTAAAAAAGGAAGGCCCCCAAAAATGGGAAAATTTACCCTTTTTGGGACCCAAACCCCAAAAAACCGGCGGGGGCCCCCCTGCAAGGGGGGGGAGAGGGGTTTTTGTAAAAAGAAAAAATCCCCCCCCCAAAAATTTAAAAATTTGGGGCATTTTTTTTTTTTTGCGGGGGAAAAAAACCATCCGGGGCGC